TTTTCCCATCTTTTAATTGAAATGATTATTTCTTTGTGGGAAAGCTGCTTATCAGTCCCTTATCTGAGGTATAGTTGACAAACATATTCTCTCCCTCTGAGGGTTCTCTTTTCACTGTAGTTATTGTTTCTCTTGTTGTACAAAAGCTTTGTACTGTAATGTAGTCCCACTTTTATATTTTAGGGAGTATTGCCTGTGCTTTGGAAGTCTTCTTTAAGAAGTCTTTACCTACTCCAAGGTCTCTAAGAGTTTCCCCTGTGTTTTCCACCAGTAGTTGTATAATTCCACTGTTAAATATTTAATCAAAGGATAGGAAAACTCTCAGTTGGGAAAAAACTTGCACATCCATGTTTATTGCAGCACTTTTTAAAATTACTAGGACATGGAATCAACCCAAATATCCAAAACTAGACAAGTGGGTTGAAAAATGTCACATATGTAGTCTATGAAATACTACTCAGCCATAAAAAAAAACAAGGAGACCCTGATATTTGACACAAAATGGACAAATATGGAAAACTTAATGCTAAGTGAAGCAAGCCACACTATGAAAGACAGTCTTTGTATGTCCCTGCTCAATACATACCAAATGTCTATACTCTATAGTGGAAATTAACAGATTGGAAGTTATAATAGCAGGGAGGGCAACTGTAGATATGAGAGATAGTAAGAGGGGTGACAGTGATGGGAATAGGGGAGTGAGGGAGGTGTACAGAGAAAAAACTATCAATATGCTTAATTGACACAAATGTGTAAAATTATTTGCTGATGATAATGTACATGGTTATGTATTTGTCATGGCTAATATGCACTATATTTGTGCTAAGAAAAACTGTGTTGTACACTATAAAGATGAATAGTGATTAAGTGTAAATAATAAATATATATTTAATAAACAAGAAGAAAGATCTGTGTCTGTATCCACCCATGTAGGAATCACCACATCATCAAGTGGCCTGCCATGACCAAAATTCCAAAGATTTATCTATTGAAAAGCTCAAAAACCCTTGAGGTCACTGTGCATCTCTCCTCTTACCAGTGAGGATCTTTCAGTGCTCACCTTTGCAGATTCCAGTGACTTGTTCTGCAGAGAATCTTAGCAAATTTTGTGGCTTAGAAAACCAATGGCCGGGGACCAGCAGATGGGATAATGGTTACATTGCTGGACTCCCATGTAGTCGACCACGGTTCGAGTCCTGAACCCAGTGACTTAACCGTACGCCAGGTGTGTGTGCGTGCATGCCCAAGATCCTGAGAGGAGAATGGAGAAGAGATTGTGGCATGGCCATGTCCCCTGGGGGTGATTTCTCACTTTCTGTCTCTTGGTGTCTCTGTATCTTTCTAGCAAGCACACATGCCCTATGGCAAAAAAAAAAAAATCACACACACACACATACACACATAAAAACCTCTCAAGGAAACCAATAGCCATGCACATCAGCAGCATACCAGCAGCAAACCCCATGAAGCTTTCACTGCCAAGAGCTCCCAATTTTTTCTACTTTTTTTATACTTATTTACTCCTGAGTCACCCTTCTGAGCAATTCATGTTGCTCTTAGACTTGGAATCACTAAGAGCAACATGACTGTTGCCCTGTGGTTGCTCAGAGAACCAACTTACTCATTTTCATAGTCCCCAGGTAAAAATCACCCACCAACCCATATCTGGAGTCTCCTGAATGGCTTCTGCTCTGAGTATCCTGACCCAGGAACCTAGCTCAAAAAACTTTATATTCTCCAGGTGCCTAAGCCAGCACCCATCCTCCTTGGAACCACCAAATCTGCTGCTTCTGTGGGTGCTCTCAACCAGGGACCCAGGGCAGCTACTGTATGCATACCAAACTCCCTCATGGCATTCCCCCCTCGCCCCCACCACTATAACCTACGGTCTGACTACAGTGCATGCCCAAGTTTTACAGATTTTTTTTTTCTAAATTAAGACAAAAACTCAAGTCTCCATGGAGTTTCTTTTTTACAGTCCAGTCAGTCCTGATGGAAATGTAAATATCTGAGAGTTAACCCAATTAACTCAATTAAAACAGTAAAAAGGGAGGTGGCCTGGCTGGCCAGGGCAGGGGCATGGGATGCACACCACTGCAGCACAGCCCCTAACACTTTATGTCTTTACTAGATTTATGCATACTTTGTTCTTTTTTTTTTTTTAAAGTCAGGTTGTTTCTTTTTATTTAATACATTCTAGTCAAATAGTAACAGCAGTAAATAAACACTTTGAAAAACAGGCAGGCATCCCCCCTATATCTGGAAGAAAATTAAGTCAAGGTATTCTACATGGTAGAAGGGAGACAACTGATGTCCATGGTTAGATGATTTAAGGGCAGCTTAAAAACTTCCACAGCCATTTCTGAAAAGGTCATGGGCAGCAGGCTGGGACACAGCTACTTGAAAGGGTAACAAGTCTATATCTACATTGCTTTTAATTAACAGGGATTGAGTTGCACCTGTATAGCATGGCGTTCTTGTCTTTAGCCTTAAAGGAAAAGAGAAAGTTTTCTCCATTTGCACCAGTTTGAAAGAGTTCTGAAATAAGGCTCCCTTAAAATAGATTACTACAGTACTCATTCACACTGAAGAGAGTGCATACGTGTAGTAAAAAGACAAATACAGGATTTCACAGTTAACTTTTATTTTTTTGGTTGATTTGGTTAATTGCATTAAATGAGGACTAAATACTCACACGCATGATCTGTTTAACAAACTCCTAGGTACATCAGAATGCTAAATATAAAATGTCCTAAAACAGACTTGGACCACCAGGCACGTAAACTTGAAATCCCTCCCCTTTCTTCAGTACTCCCATGTGGAGTTCCGTCTCCACTCCTGGAGCATGGACCTTTGACCTCAAAGAAGGGAACCTCAGAGGGAACCGGCAGTTAGCGTAATGGCTGTGTCGCTGGACTCCCACGTAGTAGACCGCGGTTTGCATCCCGGACGCAGTGGCTTAAAACTCATGCCGGTCGCGTGTGCGTGCATGCCCAAGATCCCAAGAGGAGAATGGAGAATGGATTGTGGAGTGACCATCCTCCCTGGGAGGTGATTTCTCGCTTTCTGTCTCTATGTCTCTGTCTGTCTGGTGAGCACACGTGCCCTATAGCAAAAACCTCTAAAAAAAAAAAAAAAAAAAGGAACCTCAGAAAGGCAAGGCATTCTGATCAAACTCTCTTTCAGCATTTACTCAGAACATCCTACCTTTAATGTAAAAGGATGACCACAGGTCTTGGTCAGCCTTAGAAAGGGAAGCATCACTCAGGTGAAAATATCTGGGGGAACTTTCACTACCTAGCTACCTCTTCAGGCATTTAGATTAGATTGGCTTCCACTGTCTTTAGAAAGCATTCCGCATAGCTAGCCAGAGCAGTCACTCAAGTTTTGGTCCTCTTGAACATAGCTGCATTTGGAGATACTCTATATGAGGTGTGTTTAGAAAAAGAGAAACACACCTGGAATTTATGTTCTTCCAAGTAATCTTTAAGTCTTGTTGGTAACCATAGTCCCCAGATGGTATGGGTGCATTTGTTAATGGTGAGTCTACAGAGATGCTGCAGAGGTGGGGCTGATGTGTAGAGAGGTTTGGTCAGGTAACGGTGGACAGTGCCATTCCCAGGGGCTTCTGGGCCTTTCCGCTTATCTTTGCACATCTGCACATAGTAGTCCATCAGACGAACCACACTGTCAAACTGTTTAAGCTTGGACTTGATGCAGATGATGGAATCCAACCTGAATTTCCCATCCCGATACTTGATCCGCAGATTTGTTGGTCCAGCTGATGTTTTAACAGAGACCATTAGTAGGTAGTCTGAATGCGAACTATCTCTAATCAAGAAAGTTCCTTCGGGTGCCTCTTTTAATTTCTCTTTGGCTTCATTAACAGTCATACCTCCCCAGTACCATCCTGTTTGACTGAGCTCCCAGGGCCTTAGCCAGCTGTGCCGCCTGGGGGGACAGCTCCTCAGCCGACCCCGCATCCCCCCACTGGCTCTGCATCCCTTCAGCGCCATTCCCGGAGCGCTCGAGGCACCGCAGGGTCATGGGAGTAGGGTCACCGCTGTGAAGGCAGGTGGCCCCCGGAGCTGGGGTGAGAGAGGAGCTTGTGTCCTTCCTGGAAGTCAATGGGAACCCTAAAACGAGTCCCTACGGGATGTTGGAAATGGTAACAGCGAGGAGGAATGGGGAGCTGTGGGTTCTAACTCCCCAGGTCCAGGAGAATGGATAGCAAAGTGCTCTGCAGAAACGGTCACCCACGGATCACCTGCCGCGGGCGCCCAGGCTGAGCACGTAGGGGATCCTGAGGCCGCGCGTTAGGTGGCCTGGCGCGCACTGTCCACGGCCTGCGTTGTGTCGGTGGCAGAGGGCGAGGAGGCTCAAGCTTCAGGGGAGGAATCCCAAGGCCCGTGAGTCACGGCGGCGAGACTTGGCAAGAGTTAAACGCCTGTCCCTACTTTGTTATTTTATTTTATTTTTTTTTTAATATTTGGTATTTACCCTTTAGGGTTTTTTTTGAGTTTTTTTTTTTTTTAAGGACCATTTTTTAAATTAATTTTATTTATTCATTAATTTATTTTAATTTGGCCATAGAGAGATACAGAGAGAGAGAGAGATAGAGAAAGTGAGAAAGCAAGCCACCAGGTCCAGGACTTGAACCATCGTCGGCCATCTGAGAGTGTCCAGCGCTTTAACCGCCACACCACCTGCTGGTCTTAAGAATGTAACCTAAGGAGGACCAGCCCGTGGCATGGTGAGAAGGCACTGGACTCTCACACGGCTGAACACGGTTCATGCCCTGGAGTTGGCAGCTTGCTTGGGACCAGCAGTTAGCGTAATGGCTATGTCGCTGGACTCCCATGTAGTCGACCGCGGATCCGGTGGCTTCAAACTCACGCCAGGCGCGTGTGCATGCGTGCCCAAGATCTAGAGAGGAGAATGGAGGAGAAAGGATTGTGGCATGGCCATCCCCCCTGGGGGGCGATTTCTTGCTTTCTGTCTGTCTGTCTCTCTCTCTGTCTGGTGAGCGCACGCACCCTATCACAAAAAACAACAACTAAAAACAAAAAACAAACAAACAAAAAAACTCTCAAAAAAAAAAAAAAAAGAAATCTCTCAAAGAATGTAACCTAAGCCTGCATTTGGCGATGGCTTAGAGGACCACCTGGCTGTCAGTGGGGCTTCATAGTAAGTAAACTCATGGCTTTCTCTGCTGGACCTCTGAGTGTGTCCTTTGGAACTGGGAAGTTCCCCTCAGAAGTGGGTGCTCCCCCAAAATGTTTTGTAGATTTTGTGAATTTAGACAAATATGCAATGACATGTATCCACCATTATGGTAATATACAGAGTAGGGGATTTTGTTTGTGTTTTGTTTTTGTTCCCCAAATCCTGTGTTTCACCTATTCACCTTTTTGCCCCTACTCCTTGGAAACCACTAATCTTTTCTCTATCTCCATCATTTGGTCTTTTCTTGAATATTACATAATCAGAAGATTATATTATGTAGCCTTTTGATATTGGCTTCTCTCACTCAGTATATAGATTTACATTTCTATGTTTCTTCATATTTCAATAGTTCAGTTTTATTTTACTGCTGAACAATAATAGTGTCTGAGTTCACCATTTTAGTCAGAATATTATATATATATATATAAAACCAACTGTAAAATATCTTGCTTGGTCCACGTTTTAGAAATTATTAATAAATCTGCCCAAAAAATATGTATGTAAGTTTTTGTTCATTCAACTCTTCTGGATAAATATGGAATTTAGTTTCTACATCACATGGTAAAAGTGGGATTTCTTGGGAACAGCAGGTGGCGTGGTGGTTAAGGTCCTGGACACTCCCCCATGGCCTACCATTGTCCTGGACATGGTGGCTTGATTTCTCACTTTCCCTCTCTCTCTCTCTGCGTGTGTCTTTCTGGTCAAATTAAAATAAATGAATAAATAAATAAAATTAAATAATTCTTTAAAAAAAAGTAGGATTTCCTTTGTAATAGAATGCCAAAAAAAAATTCAAAATGGCCATACTGTTTTGTATTCTCATAAGAAATGAATAAGAATTCCTGTTGAAGACAGAAACCTGCTAACCACCTCCACGTTTGCCTGTTTTTGGTCTCTGGCTTCAACTTCACAGCTGTGAAGTCACCCCAAGTCAGTGTCCCCCTGCCCCCAGACCCTGACCCAACTAGGTAGGATAGCTGCTTTGGCCCCTCTTGCTGTCCTCCTCTGACCATTCTCTGCCCATTCTAACTTTCTTTTTCCTGTTTTTGAAAAACCAGCTCTCTTCCTCCTTTGGGTCTTTCTCTTTTTAATCTCTGTCTTTTTCTCACCTAGGACAGAAACCTGCTAGCCACCTCCAAGTCTGCCTGTTTTTGGTCTCTGTATTGGACCTGCATGTCCCTATGTTAGCAATAATCCTGAAAATTTATATTAGCAATAATCCCCTCACACTTGGTATGCAATTAATACAACTCACTCCCACCCTTAATATCTAAGCCCAAGGCTGGCTTTAGCAAGATTCCTATAAGGTCCGTTTAGAATTAATCTATGCTGGAGGGTTTCTTTTAATGATTCTCCATTCATGAGAGCAGCAGGTGGCATAATGGCTATGTCATTGGACTCCCATGTAGTCGACTACAGTTTGAGTCCCAATCCTGGTGGCTTAAACTCACATGAGATGTGTCTGCATGCATGCCCAAGATCTCATGTTGAGATTGGAGGAGAAGGGATTGTGGCGTGGTCATCCTTCCTGAGGGGTGATTTCTCACTTTTTATCTCTCTGTCTCTCTCTGTCTTTCTGGCAAGCACACACCTTATAGCAAAACCTCTCAAAAAAATTCTCCATTCATAAATCCCCTCATTATTCTTGTTTGCTATAAACCTCTAGACATTTTTTATACTCATAATTGAGATCAGTTCTATACTGAGATCTCATTTCTCTACTGCAATAGTGCTGAATAACATCTTCCTTTACTACCTTTGACATGAATCTACTTTTGTTTTTCTTTAACCTCTGCAATAGTCTTTCTTGACTGTTTTTAATTTAGATGTAAGTAGCTTATGAATAAATGTGTTTTGTTGAGAGAGAAATGTAAAGTAAGTCAAAGTGTGTGTGTTACATTGGTATCCCATATATTCAAAAGACTATTTTTTATGGTATCCCATATAGTCAAAAGACTATCACCTGGTCATGTATGCAATATTCCTTACCCAAATGTTGGAATTTACATGGGTCTACAACAAAGCAAAGGTAATTGTCCTACATATTTTATACTATTTTCCAAGTACTTCTTAATTTTTAATAATATGATTTTTAAATGAATGAGAAATGTGTTTTCATATCTAAGTGTACATGTAAAAATTCAGTATAAAAATTCTATATATGTCATAAACTATCATTTTCACTTGACTATTCATTGTAGAAAAAAAGAGGGGTTAAATGAGAAACAGTGTCTTGATTATAGGAAACCAGTCCAGATTATGTGATTCTAGTCCATTCTGTTTTTAAGCTCTTTTATACCCCTTTGTATGCTTTAGGTCATAATAGACCTGCACAGTGTCTTGTCTAGAATAAGTACTATTTTATTTTCTCCCACACTGTAATGAAGTGTGCTTTCCCTCCATTTACATATTTATTTCAGTATTCCTAATTAATATTTTAGTGTATGCTCTTTGTATTTCTTTTGTCTTGGTTATATGTGCTGATTTCTGTATGAGTTACATAAATATTTTAAGAGTGTTCCTATTTTTATGTATGTCATGTCATTTCTTTCTTTAAAAATGATATTTTAAATACTTCTTTGGTCACAACAACATGCCCAGTTGATACTTCTACCAGAGTCAGATAAATATCAATGACAGAGAAGTGCACCACCAGCGAGGTTGAAATCTGAGTGTATCTTTTCTTGCCTTACTAGGATAATCCAAGTGACATTTTTAAATCACTTCCATTTTTCTTTCTGTTAATTTATTCTTTTTTAAAAAATATATTTACTGGGGCAAGCAGAAAGCATAGTGGTTACATCACTGGATTCCCACATGGCTGACTATGGTTTGAGTTCTGGACTCCATGGCCTGAATCTCCTGCCAGGTGCATGTGTAGGTGGGTCCAAGATCTAGAAGGAGAATGGAGGAGAAGTGATTGTGGTATGGCTATCCCCCAAAGGAGTGATTTCTCACTTTGCCTCTCACTGTCTCTATTTTTCCCTCTCTCTCTAGCAAGTGCACACACCGTAAGCCAAAAACCTCTAAAAAATAATTTAATTTAATTTAATTTTAATATATATTTTTCTCTATGAGAGAGAAGAATGGGGAGAGAGAGAGGTATCCCCACAGGGTCTGCAAGCCATGTTCACCCTAAACCTCTGCTATCCTGGATCACAGGCTCATGTACAAACAGCATGTACAGAGAGGCCTTGAGACTTGCATTAAGACTCCTTGGTAACTACCCAAAGGACAGAAGAATACTTAATCAGGAAAGTGCTTGCACATTGATGTTTATTGCAGCACTATGGAAACAACCCAAATGCCCACGAACAGATGAACATATAGAAAAACTGTGGCATATCTACTCAATGGAATACTATTCAGCCATAAAAAACAACAAGACCCTGGCTTTTGACAGGAAGTGGATGAATATGGAAGATTTACTGCTGAGTGAAGCAAGCCAAGCTATGAAGGAGAGGCATTGTATGTCCTCACTTAATATATACTGAGTGTCTAAAGGATATATAAACACAGTATATAGATGTAAATACCAGATATAGTGTGTGTGAAAGAGTAGGGTCTGAGGAAGGACATTTAGATGAAAAACAGGGAGATAAAGCATTAATGGCACAAAGAAATGTGGTATTATCTATTGAAGATAATTTGTAGTTTTATCAACTGTACTAGGGAGAAATGTTCACCTATTGAAATACCCATTTTGTAAGCCAACTGTGATTGAATGTATAAAAGAAAATGAGATAATAAATAAACAAACAAACAAATAAAAAGACCTTTTATGAGTCCAGCATGATAAAATGTTCCATTACTGCTGTACCAGCTGACCCGTTTCTGATAATGTCCATATTATTTGTTACATTTAGAACTGATAAGCTATCAATAGTTTAAAACTATGGGTAACTTTGTATGTTTTCTATATTCTTTTCAATAAGATAGAATACACATGTCATAAAATTCAACACATTAACCATTTCACAGTTTACAATTTAGTGTATTTTGTTTATTTACAATGTTGTGCAACCATCATTAATATCCAGTTTTAGAACACTTGCATCATCTCCCCAAGAAGGCCATAACCATTAAGCAGTAACTTCATCTTTCTCCACTTTAAAGTCTTTGGCAAAGTCTTTGGCAAACATGAATCTCTATCCCGGATATTTCATACAAGTAGAATTATACACTATGTGTCCTTGTGTCTGACTTTATTCACCGAGCATGATTCTTTTGATATCCTTCCATGTTGTTTCACATATTAGTACATATTAGTACTTTATTTCTTTTTACAGTTTAATAATATTCCATTACATGACCATGCCAATTGATTCAACTAGTCACCCACTGATGAACATTTGAATTATTTCCTCTTTTTTGATATTTCAAATAATGTTTCCATGAGCATAAACGCACAACTTACTGTGAGAACATATGCTTTTGTTTCTTCTGGGTATATACTTGAAAATGGAATTACTGGACCATATGGTAACCTATGGAGGAACTGCCAAAATGCTTCCTATAATTGCTAAATCATTTTACAATCCCACCACTACTGTATGAAATCTTCAATTCCTCTACATTTTCGCCTAATTTTCTCTATCTTTTAAAAATATATCCATTCTAGTAGATGAAAGTAATACCTCATTATGGTTTTGATTTTTTTTTCTCCAATGAGTAAGGATGCTGAGCAACCTTGCAGATGCTCAATGGCCACTTATATGATGTGTTGTTTTTACCAATAATTGCAATTGTCTGTTATAGAGCATGCTTTTCTAAGTTAACTTATCATTTAAAAAATTTACAAGAGTACAAAATGATTCACTTAATCAATGTGGTCATGTCATTTGATTGTGTATATTAGAAATCATGACTCTATTGCCTAATTAACACAACCTATATTTTTAAAATAAAGCATTCTCAGGCGTTTTACATTTTTACACACTCATTTTATATTCAAAACTATAATGTGCATTGGCTTAGTTTTAATATTTTGTTATAATGATATATAGTAGTCACATGATATAGTTTTATGTCTTTCCTTCTTTTCTCTGCTTTATAAGTTTGCTCTTTGAAAATAAATTTCAAAGAGAAAAATCTAAAACTTAACAATATTTTTTAAAAAGTTATTTAAAGTAATCAGAATTTTAGTTAGTTTTTTTTTTTTTGGGAGATTTTCACTGTAGGGCGCATGCGCTCGCCAGACAGACAGAGAGAGACATAGAGACAGAAAGCGAGAAATCACCCCCCAGGG